AACTGATGTTGCCCCTTTTGGTTGAACATGGATTTGGCGACTGGACCGAAGCGACACCATGCGAGTGCGTATGAGTTGAAACTAGAAGACAAGCGATTATGGAAGCAAGATGGGAAGGGCCAAGAATTAGGGGCTGAAAACAGGGAGAGATAAAACTGAATTTGGAACGGGACGATTAGAGTGAAAACGTGGAAGAAAAGGAATAAGAAGTCGGGAAAGCCTGGAAAGTAGCATCATTACCCCTATCCACCCTGTTCGATGCATCAGATAGGGCGCCGTTGTTTATACTCTACGACGGTCAGGGCATTAAGAAACTTTTTGAAAGTAAGTAAGTATTACGTGGGCAGAATACTTAGGTTGTCTAGGTTAAGACAGGAGAACGATTAATCTTCATAACCAAAGCTTTTGGTTCAAAAACCTTACCGCAATGCAGCGGGGTGTTGGCACTGGATTAATTAAATCCGTTTTATGGAGTGAGGAGCCACGCTCACTCCAATCCCCAATCTAATGAGCCAGGAGACTGAGTGTCAGGCCTCAAACCACTGATGAATCTGGAATGAGAGGCTCTGAAAGTGCAAAAGCACCCCGCCGCATAGCCCAATGGATCGCTGAAGCACACAAAACATCGCACTTCGCTAAGGACCAGTGTCGTCGCGACGGGGTCCCGTCTCGTATAAGCACAGGCGAAGCAGAATGTCAATATCCTGTGTGTACGTGTGTGTGTTTCGAAGGTACAGCGTATATCAACTCATTGTGTAGGCTCTGAGAAGGATAATGTAACAGTGCCTCAGATTGGAAAGATGACCTGGCTTGCTTGCTAGCATGATGACTGAAGTTAGTAGCTGACAGTGAAAGGGAAAATTAATGCGGACTATGGCCTGCAGATACACCATCCTTTCTGGCTGCCCATTGCGGGACAGATGTTTTGTTCCATGGCTCCGTAGTCTGGCTCATAAAGCAGCTATACTTGTGTCCAAGCCAGGAATGTGATTAGACTCCACAGTGTGAACCTGTTTGAGACAAGCCACGCAAAACTTTGGGACATTCAGGATTTTTCGATCCCTACCAACCATATAGTTCCGATCAGGGCGACCGCCGGTCAGTATCACTGGGCTTGTGCAGGTAAATACCTAGGTTGAAAACGATAGAAGATCAGTGACCAAAAGTGTCACTCGCCCACAACTATGGACGAAAAGCGGTGCACATGATCCACCAAAATCAAGCAAAGCTTATAATCCGTAGAACAGTGCATTACGGGTAAAAATTGCACATGCTTAACAAGTCCCGTAGGATGGCCAGGACGAGAACCACACTATGGTAAAAAGTAAAGATAGTGATAAAATGTAAATCATTTGGGTAGACATACCAGTGTTTACGTAGAGGCATGCATTAAAGAGCCTCCCTCGATTGCGTAAGTTACTGCGGGTTGTGCAAGGTTCGTCACATTACATCGTCCGTCAATGTATAAAGGACATATCTCGAAATTTAGGTTAGGGCAAAGTCAAGACGTCTTTGGAACACATATAGCAGGGGCGAAAGAATGTAATTTGGGAAGATGTTCTATAGTTGACAGACACGAAGACGGTGGCCAAGTTGAGCTGGTGGCGCCTCAAATTCTTGTTGTGAATAAGTTGCGGTAGGTGGCGGCAGACGTGGTTGGGCTTCCTCAAAATCCAGTAGGCCATGATTAGACAGCCACGTAGGCGCCGCTGTACAATCTTGGTCCTTAGCCTTCGTTGATATGGAAGGTAACACAACCCTGACGTGCTTGGTAGCTCCTCGCTGTTGAGTCTCGAGTGCTGCGAGATCCTGCTTGTGTCAGGGCTGCCATGTCTGGAGTGCGTATTCCACATGAAGCCGCATGTATGTGCCAAGCAACTGCGGACATACAGATGGATCAAACCGCCTGAACGCCCTCCGCATTACACTAACATGTTGGTTCACAGTCATTGACACCTCAGATTGTTCTGAGCATCCCAGATAAGCCTGGATTAATACCCAAGGGCCACGCTCCTGTATGACTGCTTGCAGGCCATATGCTCTAGGCTTGTATTCGGCCGATGACGAATGCGGACCACCATACACTTAGACCAATGAAACTGAAGCAGATTGTGGCATAACAATTCAACGCCCAGTGCAAGGCTTGTTGAAGTGCGTCGTGCTCTCCTTGGTCGGCGATCGCCTGCAACACCTTAACATCAACAGTGACAAGCAACTAATCTGAGGCGATCAGACGCGTAAGCTCGTTAATGATCAGGAGAGACAGAAGTGGTCCCTGAACTGATCCTCGTGGAACCTCACATTCGACGAAGTAGTTCAGATAGCGTACTTCGAACTCTAACCTGAAGTTGCCGATACTGTAGGAAATTTCTGATCCACCGAAGAACAAGATCCACAGCTCCGTAGCTTTCGATCCTGTGAAGCAGAATGTGATGCTCCAGACGGTCAACGGTTTTGGAAAAGTCCAGGTAAACGACGTTGGTCCCTCTTTGTCGGTCGGTTCCATCCAAAAATTGCGTGCAATCACTAGGTTGGTTGTGCATGAGCGGTGAGGATAGGAACCGTGCTGCTCCGGTGCTATGTCGCAGCGTTCTAGATTGTCGACTAAAGCTTTAGTGACAATTGACACCATCACATTAGAGATTAGAGGAAGGAGGATCGCTGAGCGATAGTATGTGGGTTCCGAACGACTGCCACTTTTGAAATTCGGTGTTATTAGTCCATGTTTCCACACAGTAAGCACAGTTTGCTCATTCAAACAAGTTTGGAAGAAATGCACTGATGTCTCAACCAGCGTTGTTCCTACCACATTCAGCGCCCTCAGGTGAATGTTATCGATTCCAGGAGAACTGTATGCGCGCAGTGAGAGCAATTTCAGTAACACAGATGTGGCAGTAAACGCGATGTGGAAGAAAGTCATGGACCAATTCCTAGCCTCTGATGAGGATGACACTGAGAGTGTCTATCCGATCTCTAATCATTGGAATGTTTGGAATAATCAGCACTGAAAGCCAATAGAATGTCATCCGGTGTGACGCGACAGACACCTGAGTCACGAAAATCATCACACTACGTCAGGGCCCAGACCTATTGCGGTGGTCAAAGTGCTATAGGCCACAAACGGCGTACATCGCTACTAGACCGTTCATTAATATGGTGCACACAATTTGATTTCGTTATGGCTTAGTGCGCATCCTTGTAGCGCTAAGTTCGACCTCGTTGTTTCTCACTTGTCAACTGGGCGCAAAATTCAACAGAGAATGATAGCAAAGCGAGTAAGATAATCAGTCTAATGAAAGCTTCCGTGTTTGTCATGAGATTATAACAGCTTTTGTCGCGATTGTCTTTTGCCATGAATTGCGATAGCAACCGGTGCCCATCGGTCATTGCATAGGGCCAGGCTGATCTTCTTGATTGCAGGAACAGCGAGCCAGTAGCCATTTTGCAGAGATCCCTTTGCTGGCTTTTTCACTTGCATGAAAGTCGACTATCAATCGAATGAAGCATGACACGTCCAGTGCGGCTTCGGTGTTTGGCTAACACTTCTCACAGCCGAACGACCTCAATTCCCTTGGTGTGCCCTGCGATCGAAGCATGACACGTCTAATGCGGCTTCGGTGTTTGGCTAACACTCACTTCTCACTGCCGAACGGCCTCGGTTCCCTTAGTGTGCCCTGTGATCGTGGACATGCAGGTCTTGCCACTGGGTCCCATTTTACTCCGGCTGACACGTTCGGAGAAGCGATTTGCGGCATTGGACAGTTGGCAATTCAGTGTACCGGGGTAGGTCAGCACGTGAGCGCAGCCGCTCCTAGTTTTGGACGTAATTAATAAAACATACTGTAGATTATAGCGATGGCATCACGCTAGTTGATGCTGAGTGGCAGAGTATGCAAACCATGCTAAGCCGTTTGACGATTGATGCATCCAAGTACGGAATATGCTTCGCCCTGTCGAGACGTAAATTGTTGCTCAAGAATTGGCATTCGCCCGTTCCCATGCTTACTCTTGTAGGTGCACAGCTTAAACACGTCGGTAATTTTGTGTAACTGGGCAGCTGTGTGTCTGCCGGTGGCGCTATCAGCAAAGAAATTTCTCTCCGCATCCCCAAAGCCCGGTTCTCGTTTATCAACCTACAACGATTGTGGCATCGTAGGGGTAGAAGGTCGTGTATACAATGCCACTGTTCGGGCGATGTTGCTATATGGCAGTGAGTCATTGCCAGTTCATGATAGAGGTGCCCGCTTCTGGCCTTCGGTACTAGATGTTTGAGGAAAATGGCTCATGTGTGGTGGCAAAAACGTATCTTAGGGAATGCGAGTATCCCCTTCAACAAGCCTGTTTTACTGCACCAGTTAAGATGGCTCGGTCACGTCCTGCGTATGTCAGCTGAGCGTTTGCACCATCGCGCCCTGTTCGCTCCTACAGGATTTGGCTGGAAGAAACCGCGCGGCAGTCAGTCGCCCACCTAGCGACAACGTAAGAAACCAATGACTTCGCGTATTTATGCCGTTGGATCCACACACCTGGCTGGTTGGGGACATAAAGAGGAAGAGTGCCGATGGCCGGAAACAATTCAGGAAATGGCGCGCAGTCGAAACCAACGGAAGATCCGCGTACATGCTCGTATCGATTTAAACGCTTAACCCCAAAAAATTAAATATAAATTAAGAGTACAACACAAAATGACGTGGAAATATAACAAAAAGGTTCCGTTCTTTCTACGGTACACTAGCTGAAGCGTGTTGCTCAGCTTTGACTAAAGTGCTATAATGATAATTATGCGGCGACAATACCTTTTATCCACAGATCTCAAAGATATTTTGGCTGTATGGCTGTTTATAAGGCTTGACGCTATATATATATATATATATATATATATATATATAATCTGGCTAGAGAGACAGTAGGATCGATGGAAGAGTAACTGTGGAACTTTATGGGCAGTTAGGAATATTAATTTGATTCTTGAGGTGAAGAGGAACAAGGTGAGGACGCACCTGTTCTCCAGCGGTCACGGTCTCCATAGCATGGAAGACGAGCTCCTCGGATTTGGGGTCAAAATGTGTGGTTATCTGAGTAAAAAAAGAGGAATGGAATTTGACTGGGAACACAAAAAGCATCAACGCGACTATGACAGTAAGTGAACTTCAGCAGGAAAGTGGGGGGGGGTTGTTCAGAATACAGCGTCCTGTAAATTTTGTATGTAGGTTATGACAATTTATCGGTCAAACAGAGCTGGTCAAAGTTAGACGCTGCCCAAGAATAACCGAATAAAGAACGTGCGCAATAGCTGCGAGGGGAAGCAAAAATGGGTAAAACGTAGTACACCGGTCAATGTTGTGTGCATGTCAAGGTCCTAGAGAACGGCAAGAGTGATAACCTAGACTGCTGAGCACAGTGACATAATCAGCTGAAAGGCGGTTGGCTAGATGATGTAAAGAAATTAAGTGAAAGAAAATGAGTCATCCGCCGAACATAAGTACGTGAGATTCATCAGAATGATACCTTCCGTGGAAGAGTGGGGCATAAAAGTGTTTGTTGCGGGCACGTCAAGTATCCCCGCAAAAATGCGCCACAAACGCCAGTGCGTGGGCTGTGCTACGCAGAGTTCAATTCCTCCCTACAACGTAGCAGGATCCAGCCACTCCGAGTCGGGGCGCAACTGGGCTAAAGTGGACAATGTTCTTTCACAAACTACCAGCCCTACGTGGTGATTCATTCACCCACAAAATGAACCATTGTGCCAACTGTGATTGGGTCTTTGTGGGTCGTAAAAGAGCGCCCAGAGGTACGCTTCGCTTTCTCTTGCCCCCTCTCTCGGTAGTTGGGAATCGTGTTGTCACGTGATCGTGTGTTCCGCGTTCCTCTAGCTTCCCCGGTCGTGTGCGTGTCGTTATCCATTTCGAGGACTCAGCGTGTCACCCGAAACGCGCGTGAATAGGGTCCGTACTTAGGTTGCGCGTAACTCTCGTCTAAGCTAACGCGACCAGGCCTGCACAGTATTAAAGGAAAAGCTAGCTCAGCGAGTACTTCTGTGTACTTTAAAACTCGCAAGTTTCTAAATAAAACTGCCCCTCTGTCACTGGAGACCTTAGCAACCAAATTACCAAAACAAAATCAGTCGTACCAAAGGCATGTACCAACAAGACTAGGCGCCAAAGATACGCAACCATCCATTTAACCCTTCGGTACGGTTGCGAAATCAGATCTGGAGGCCAGTTAGGTTAGGCCATCGCTGTATTCCAGGCTTAGCTGATGTCTGATGAGAGCACCGCGTGAGCAATGAACGTCTTCGGCGTCGTGCACTTGGTGCAGGAAGAGCGAGTGGACCGCTCAGCACCACTATATAACGCATCAGGATCCGATAGCTAGTGTTGCGACCCTACGGTCACTAACGCAATTCGGAACGAACACGCACGGAAACAACACACAACGAAATCATGGCCTGGAATCACAAAATACAACACAAATCTTGCACCAGTCTATAGCCAAAACCCCGGAAGGAAAGAAGACAAGATCTCAGACGCGAGATCTATTCGCACGCCAACACAGAAAGCAGAAAGTAATGGAAACTCATGATCGGTTCAGGTCATTCAACGGCCTTTCCAAATCAGCAAATCACAGTGCTCGTTTGAAGCGGGAACAGATGGCGCGCACCGCTTAAAAAGCAAAAATAGTGGCTAACAACAAGTTTATGATTTTAGGTGATTCTAGTGTAGTTTTGGGGAAATATGACCTTTCCCAACAGTTAGGCCACGTGTTGCGCAAGCCAGCACATAGACTCACGCATCGTGCGTTGTTTGCATGCCCGGGTTGTGGATGGAAGAAGAAGAGGGTATGTCAAACGATGACTTGGTCAAGTGGAATGAAGACCCGAAGAGTCTTCAGCTCAGTCTTCCTCCTCTACCCGTGCAAACTCACCGGCATAAAGTCCCACCGCTGTGAGAAGCCAAGTTTCACTTGCCATAACTTGTTTACCTTTGTTGTGCGCAGGGAGCACTGATCTCCCAGCAGGTGAAAGCCTGGGTGCTGAAGACCAGTGGAAAGAACAAAGAACGAAATTACGAAGGAATGTTGGGCGTCTAACTTCTGTATATCAACAGTTAGCCAAACCACGTGAGGCTGGTAATATAATTCGCCCCGCAAGGTCAATCTCGTCCGACCAGAAGCGTTATAACCTCGTGACCTTCCATGTGCGGGAGTCCAGTGATCCATCACCCCAAGTGCGTTACGATCACGATGTAGAGTTTTTACAGTCTAATTGACAGACTCCTCGATGCTGGTGAAAACTCGGTAAAACTGAGGCAAATTTCCCGTTTTGGAAAGCAAGGTAATCAACAAAATCGGCCTATGAGAACCACTTTTGTGGACGAAGTCAGTCCAAGACTGGTCTTGCCCCGCCTAAGTAGGCGGAAATGAAGATCCATGTTCGTCCAGACCTGGACCCAGTAGACAGGGAGCGGCTCAAGTTTGCCACCACTGAGTTGAAAAGACGTGCTGGTGAGGGGGAAACAAATCTTCGTTCCGTAAATTTTCGGGTGGTTTCCCAGAATATGCCAATCAGGATAAACAGATTGCTCACACTTCAAGCACGCTCGGCGGCTCCTGCTGCGGCCTGCGAGTAGCCTTCACAAACGTTTGTAGTGTTATGAAAAAGTACGATGAACTTTGTTGTTTCGTTGCGTCTGAGCGGCCAGACGTAGTGAGACTCGGAGAGACATGGCTGCATTCAGAGTTATACACACAGGAACCTGAACTCAACGGTTAATCGTGCTTCCGAGGCGATAGACTAACGAATGCTCGCGGTGGTGTCTTGCTCTACATCCGGTCTTCGCTGTGTGGGAGACTTGTGATCACCTACCGAAATGACGATGGTTTGTGTGAGCCACTATGGTACTCCATTCACCTCAGGCGCGAGGAATTGCTTGTGGGCGCAGTCTATCGCAGCCCCCTGAGTCGTTGTTTGGGTTGGCTGCCCCATTTTCGAACCCAAATGAGTCGTCCACACTTTCTATTTATGGGCGATTTTAACTGTCCTCGAATACGATGGCCTGATGTACATTTGATGCCTGGACATCGTGAAGATGAGGCAAAGTTCATGGACTTGGCACTTGAAAATGGTACATCGCAACAAATATGCCAGCCATCAAGCATAACACCACGCTCAACCCCCTCCTGTCTGGACCTGATGTTGACGAGCTACGAGCAACAAGTGTGTGACGTTCGGATCCTGGAGCCCCTGACTACAAGCGACCACTCAGTGCTCATAGCTGATATGGAATTACCTTTGCCGTATTCACGTCCGCTGGAACCAGCTTACAACTACTGGAAAACGGACTTCGACGGTTTAGTTCGAGCCGTGAGCCAACTGGATTGGTATCTGTCACAAGCTGCATCTGTGAAAGACTGTTGGACATGTATAAAAGATAGATTGACATCATTGTGTTCCAAATTTGTGCCACTGAAATGTGGAAGGTTGGACCGATTACGCCTCATATTGGTTTGACAAGGAGTATGGAAATCTGGCTCGGAGGCGGCGCAGACTGTGGGACAGATATCTCTTCCCTGGCTTTGTCAATGACTACGAAGGGTATAAAAGCCAGCGGAATCCCTGCAACAGCGTAAAAAGGAATAAACACCGACCTTTCGAAGAACAACTCGCAATCGCCGCGAAAACCGCCCCAAAGAGAATCTTTGCTTAGGTGAAGCGACGCTTGAAGTCGGCAGGTGATGTTCCAATGCTGAAAAAAGAAGTTAAAAAATGTACCAGCTGTACGTCGTAACGGCGCTACGCTGCCGTGCGACCACCACTAGTCGCACGCGGGCTGAGTATACCACGTGGACGCCCACCCCAGTGCTGGATGGCCCGGACGGACAGCCCCTAACCTCCAGCACTGAGCGTGCGTCTGTGTTGGCGGTGCACTTCGCTTCTGCATTTGCAAATGAACAGGTGTCTGTTCCGAGTTTGACGTGTACCGCTTTTACCGAACTCGACAGTCTGGATTGCGGCGTTGAAGAAGTATGTCAACTACTCGCCAGCCTTGACGGCACCAAACCTGTCGGACCTGATGGGCTTCACCCACTGATTCTCAAGTCACTTCCTGCCATCATCTCGCCTGTTGTGACTAACCTTTTCCACAGGTCCCTGTCCGAAGGTTCGTCCCCGATTGACTAGAAATGTTCGGTAGTGAAGCCTATTCCGTAAAACGGCGACCCTAGCAAAGTAGACAATTACATGCAAAATAAGACAATGAGAAGACTGGTATTGCGAGATGGAACCACTTCGTGTTATCTGCTCACTCGCAAACTAACAATAAAAGTATGAATCAGGTGACAGAAAAATAGGTTTGAAACCGGTCACAGAGGAAAATTATGTAGACACAAGAATAACAGATCAACGAGCTTGATCTTACGGTCATGAGCCCAAAGGAAGCTTCAGGGAGACTGTTACTTGTTTTTGTACACAAAGGATAGGGCGATGCTGGTTAAGTGCCACCGGTTCGGCAAACCTCAATACTTTAAGGTTGTCATTTCGATAGATAAATTTAAATGTTGACCTAGGGTTAACCTGATGGCCTGGTTCGAGTAGATGTCTGGCGATCGATGATGCCGGCAGATTAGATACCTTTTGTCGTTCGGCTGCTTGTTGTGTCGATAGTTTAGCAATCCGTTTTGGGACATGCTCTCCAATGCGCTTACCCAAGGATCGATCTGTTTTGCCAATGTAACTACTATCGCAGTTACAAACGAATTGGTAAATGCAATGGGTTGTGGCGGAGATCGATTGAGTAGGCTTCATTGGAAGCATAGGCAACTTCCTGGTCTCCCAAATGGGGCAGAATTTTCCGGCATTGAATGTCCGACGAATCGCTGTATGCAAACGTCTTACAATTTGGGCGGCCACGATATCACCTCTGAAAGGTAATTGAAGGTAGACAGACAGTTTGGGCTCAGTAAGTACCCTCGGACAGTTTTCCTTCAGTTGACTGTTGACAGTTGGGGCTCATGACCCTAAGATGGCTGGCTTGCCGAACAATCTCCTCGTGGTGCCAGCTGGGTGGTTCGGGTTTTT